TATTTAATTGAAAATTGTTCAAAAACAAAACATCAACTGTTGAAACTGAGAAATTTTATTGTTTTTTTTATTTATGGTTTTATTTTCAATTTGATGCCAGCAACACGTTTTAAAACGTTAGGACAGGAGCATGTTTACCACTCTGTTGCATCACCTTATTGTCATCTGAATGGCATCATATGTTGCTCCAAAACCCGTGTATATCATTCAGCATTAATGGTGCTTCACACATGTGCAAGTCATTGTACAAGTGCACTAATGCACCCCCAAATCATCATGTATGCTGGCTTTTGAACTCTGTGCTGATAACAAGCCAGATGGCCCCTCTTTTCTTTAGCCCATAGGATGCAGCATCCATGATTTCCAAAAGGAATTTCAAATTATTAATTGTCTAAACATAGTGGCGGCGTTTCTGGATCATGTTTATATATTGTTTCTTCTTTGCATGGTAGAGTTTTAATTTGCATTTGTGGATTCGGTGATAAACTGTCACAGACAGTGGTTTTCAGAAGTGTTCCTGAGCCCATGCAGTGATTTCCACTACAGAATCACATCTGTTTTTAAAGCAGTGCCACCTGAAGGTCTGATAATCACAGCCAGCCAATACAGGCTTGCGGCCTTGTCCTTTGCATACAGAGATTTCTGTGGGTTCTCTGAATCTTTTAATGATATTATGTATTGTGGATGATGAAGTCCTCAAGTTCTTTGAGATTTTACGTTGAGAAACGTTATTCTCAGACTGTTGCACTATTTGCCTGCACAGTCTTTCACAGAGTGGTGAACCCCTCCCCTCCTTCACTCCTGAAAGACTCAGCCTCTCTGGGACGCTCTTTTTATACCCAATCGTGTTACTGACCTGTTGCTAATTAAACTAATTATTAATGAGATGTTCTTTCAGGTGTTTTTTAACATTACACAACTTTACCAGTCTTTTGTTACTCCGTCCCAACTTTTTTGGAAACATGTTGCTGGCCTTGAATTCGAAAAGGGCATATATTTTTTCAAAAAACAATACATTTGATATGTTGTCTTTGTACTATATTCAATTAAATATAGGGTTTAAATGATTTGCACATCATTACATTCTGATTTTATTTACATTTTGCACAACATCCCAACTTTTTTGAAACAGGGTTGTAAATAGCATCTCATGCAAACTGTCAAACTCAAAACTGCATAATGACTGTTACTCAAAATTGCATACTAAGAATCTGCCAGCCAAATAAGGGTGTAGAGAAACATCAGCTTTAAATTATAGCTGCTCAGTTCAGGCACTACTTTTCACAACTGTGAGAAAATAAACATTTTTTTTAAAGATGTGGCAGCACATTTAATGTTATAAAACCCTTTCAAGATACATATGTCAAAATATTACCCAAATGCAACTTATAAGCTATGAAAATCTTTCACAAAAACTCTAGCAAAAACTCAAAAACTGAACTTGCTACCAGTTGAAGTATTTTAAAACATTTCTTTTAACTGGGTAGCTAAGTTAGAGCTGTGCACAATGGATAATTGTGTATAGAAAAGCAAAAGGCAAAGGATATAACAAACAATAGCAGTAATAAAATTACACTGATTATATTCTGGAGTAAGAGGCAGTTCTTTTGTTGAATGTGCAATTGTTGAGGCAATTTAAGAAGATAGCTTTTTATCTAGATCAAAGAGACTGTTGAATGCTAACCTACTTTGCAGCTATTACCGATTTTCCTCCAGTATGCCATTGTTAATGTCACAGCATCTTCAACTGATTTTTCCACAAATGTACTATTACTCCCGTCATTGAAAAAGGAGAAAATTAAATTCAGTCAAAATCTAAACAAGGAGTAGTTCTGAAAGGCCAAGTCAGAGGGGGGGAAAGAAAGAGAACAAGAAAGCAAGAAGAGAAAGGAGAAGACCCCTTAATCTTCTTGTAGGCACCTAACAATGGAACATAAGAGCACACTGTTGTGGAGCCAAGTCACAATGCCACTACAGAGCAGGGCCTGTCCCTAGGAGGCAGATGAAGAGATAAGAAAGAAGTGTGGCGAGAGCGAGCCAAAAAACCCTCCACAATAATAATTATCAACTGTTATAAAGGAGAGAAGGTTGCCAAGGCGACAAGAGTTGAGTTGCCTGAGCAATGGTTTCAATGAGGTGCTGTGAGAATCCCCTGGGATGCTCTCTGATGATACTGTCAGTTTCCACTAATAGCCACTGCAGAGAGTTTTTTTTACCCCTAGAAGCTTTTCAGAAGTTCACACCAATCACTCATAAATTCCCATTGCTTCTTTTCCTCCATGTCCTTTGTCTTACGCTCCCGGGTTGGAAGAAACCCTCCAGGAGCCCCTGACATCTTGTCGGTTGCCTAACAAGTTGGGCGTGTGGCTAAATTGGATCGAACATCAGGTAAACACACACCATAACCCAAGGTTAATCAAACTAGACCCTAAGTAAAGAAAAGAGAGAGAGGTGCAGGCAAACAAGCTCTGAGATTTGGGGAAATAAGGTTCAGGAACAAATGTTCAGTTTCCCTCAGGCCCCCAAGCTGGTTAGTGAGGACATCTTCCAGTGCCTGGGCTGTGCTGGACCTGCACTCTTAAAAATCAAGGAGGCTAAAAGGGTTCTTTGGAGTGATGTCATAGAAGAACCACTTCCAACTGATGATTCTTTAAAGAACCATGTTGCAAATTAGAGGTGAACATATGAAGAACCTTTTTAAACTTTAAAGAACCTTCACATAATGTAAACCGTCTATATCAATTAAAGTTTTTTTTTTTTTCTCCTAGAAGTGTGTGTTCAAACTAAGAACCATCAGCAACCTTAATTTTAAAGAATGTGCTCCCTCACCTTCACTGTGCACATTCCGTACTGCGGTTAAGATGAAGGCTGACTGAATGAATTTGACTCATCTGTGTCCGCAAGACTGCCTTTGACGCACACCTCAGAAACGCTCACTTTAAAACTCCATGCAATCAATTACACCACTTAATCTAAATTCAGAAGTATATCGTAATTAGCATAAATTGGTCATGTGTGCAGTGGTCTACAGGAAAAAAGTGTTCAAACTGCCAAGGCAAATGAAAGAAATTCAGTTCTGGCCACTAGGGGAGTGTCTCCTTCCAGTCAAATTAGTGTGTAAGTATGAAAATGCCAAGACTGGAGCTGTGCACTGGTCAGAGTCTGGATCATAGAATGCAGTCTTGTATTGTACCAAAACTGCTTTTGCTCACATTACTGGCATCAGCTCAGCAGAACAGATTTCTTGAAGTCTCTACTCTTTTCTGGCTTTCTTGGCATATACTTTAAGATCCAAGGGCAGCCAGACTTGTTCACAAATCTATAGATGCTGTTCAGTGGTCAAAAGTGGTCAAATGAGACATTTGCATATTACTACCATGTATATATATGTTACTACCAAGATGCATCGACTTTAAGCTCCTTGATCAATGTCTTACAGAAATTACATTCACATGATTATCTACAAATAAAATTTGCTTAAAGATCAGTGGTGACTTTATGGGACATTGTATGTTTCTTGAACAAGTGGCTATGCAGTCCACACACAAAGACACATGAAAAGTGAAAGACACATAACTGGGACTTGTGCACCCAAAGTATGTATTTGGGACATTGAACATAAGGTTGGGTTATAATGTCAATGGCTAAATGTAACTAATTTTTGTCTTGTGCAGCTCCTTATTACACCACTTTACATGCCTCTACAATGTTTTTTTCAGTGTCATTGCAGGTTATGTGTTATTGCACTGAATGATATACCCAGTGTTGTATATCCATTTAAAAATATGTAGTATAAGGCCAACCTTGTTTCATAAAATGGATTTCACATGCTCTTTCTGCCCACACCTTCAAGGAGAACAAATAAAAAAAATGAGATAAGCCTAAAATGTATTTGGCCTAAAATGTATTCTTAAAAATCCATGCAGGGCACTGTAAGCAAAACAGTAGCAAAAAAAAAAAGTTCATTGGTCATTTTGGGGTAGTGGCATTTTGGTGCAGACAACACGACCCACGTTTCACCACAGTCATTTCTCTACAATGCCCCATTTTACATCAAACCACTCTGAATGTCTGTTTACATCTCAATCGTTTAATTATGCAGAAATTTTGGACAATTTGTGGACTTCCGCTTCTAAGCTGTGCTTTCAAAATGTGGATATAAATGTTATTGTTATCACATTAACTGAGATGCTTTTTTGTGAAATTAATGTCTGGAAACAGGAAAATTGAAACATTATGACTATTAGCTAATGTCAGTCACAGATGAGAAACCAAATTATCACAAAAAGAGCAAAAATGATAACAAAACACACATCTGCCGCAATTTGTTTCTTCACAGCTTTCGAAAAAAAATAAATAAATAAAAAAAATAAGCCTATGCTAAAGTACTAAAACACTTTCAACCCTGCGACTTATGTACGCAGATTTTAGAAAAGAAGTGTAAACAACAATAACAAAAAGCAAAACAAAACAAAGAAATGAGATATTGATCTTTCAATATTCAAGCCCTCCTTAGTTTCTCTGATAAACTTTGTTTCTCATGTTTAAAACGGCAGTAAACCGAATAGGAGAGGTAGTTAAGAAATTCTTAGTTGTATCAATAAACAGGAAGGAGAACGATAACTTAACATTAGGGGCTCAAGCTCCTCAGGCTAACTAACGTTACCGTACAACGCCAACTTTACAGGTTACCAAGCCTTTCCACACACGGGTTGTTTTACCTTTTTTAACACTCTCGTCCATAAACGAATTTAAAGTGAAGTTGCTTTTTTAACGTTAATAAATTCGCTGGGAGTCTGCGAAACGCGTTGTGGAAGCGCTTTCTCCTCAGGTGCTGCATTGAGGCGGGAGTCTCGCGCTGCTCAGTAAACACGCGCGGGGAGGGAGTCAGACCCTCACAGTAGAGAGAGAGAGACCCTCATAGTCGAACATAGAGAGAGAGAGACCCTCACAGTCGAACATAGAGAGAGAGAGAGAGAGAGAGAGAGAGAGAGAGAGAGTGTGCTCAGCGACGTCGGCTTAGAGCTGGTTGAGATTTCAACTCGCCAACACGGCAAGAGGCTGTTCGTTCGTCATCTCGAGCTGAAGCTGCTGAAAATGCTTCTCAAATCCGTCTGTTTGCTTGGATTGCTGGTCTGCGGCAGCCAAGGTAAGATAAGCGGAACAAGTTGGGCTTGTAGCGCACCTTTTTTTTCCTCTTGCTTCATGTCTTCGATTAGGAAGAAGAAGCAGAGATGTGGTGGATATCTGGATGGCAGGCACCGGAGGAGAGGGCAAAGGATTGCTTTGCTGGTACTTGGAAGTTGAGGCACGTCCTTCTCAGGAAAATGTATGGATCCCGGGGTTTGCTGTGTCTTTAGAGGGGGTGTGCTAATTGCATGTGGGTATACTCACCCAACACCGGCATTTACATGATTGATAGACAGACTGTGACTTTTCCACGTCTTTAAGTCTGCACATTCGTTTTCATTGTCAAGTACTGCAGAGTGTTATTGATGACAACATAAACTGAAGCTGTTCTTTTCTTACGTGGAGATGTAGATTAGAGAGGACTGTGGAATAGTTAGAAATTCATGGCTAATGCATTCAGTAGGTTGGTCTTGCAAAATTGACTCATGTTGTGAGTTGTGAATCATTCCCACTACTTGACAAGTTGGTGTATACTCTATTGGCTAAAGTCAACAAAAAGATACATACATGTTTCAAAGAAACACACAAGCATTCCTTGTCTGAAATGTAAAGATTCCTAAGAAATGTATAGAAGGTTCTCACTACACCACAATTGCTCCCACAGTTTTTGTGGAGAAGGATGTTGCCCGAGAGGCATCTGTCTCCTCATTCCATGTAGTGAGACTGCAGAGGTTGGGATACTTTTGTTAGGCTGCCTTGCTTCTAATTCAGTTGGCCGAGCATCTTTGCCATCATCAGTTGGATGCACTTATTTGAGGTTCTTGGGGATCTGTAGAAGATGTTTGTTCAGATGCAAATCCAGTTCCTTTGGTAGAACAACAGGTGGTGGTAGAGTGCTGCACATTGATTCAAAGTGGTGGGAGTACAGCTGATTGCCAGAGCGCAGTGCAATCAGTCTTTTTGTCTGGAAAAGCAAACGGCACAAGCCACAAGTTTATGTCACAAGTTCAGGTTCATTGTAAAATGTAGGAATCAAGGTATGTAAAATGGGCTCGGTGTAGTTATTTGGTAGCATGCTTGCCACCAAACAACTATAATTCTGATAAGAATCTGATAAGAATCAGTTCTTTTCATTAATTGGTTGCGGTAAATGTGACAAGATGTGAATCTTGTAAAATGTTACATTCCTGCACAAGCTTGAAAGGAGTGGCTGTTTTCTGATAACCTTTCCTGGAACACTGTTAACTGAAACGTTAAATCTCAAGCTGTATATTTTGCCATGTCCATTCGTCAGTTTACAATACGTACAAATTACCACTCATATCATATACTTTAATGTTGTATTATCTCTAAACCACCTGAGCATTTAAATGAATGATCATTTGAGTGCATCAGAAAGTAATATGAAAAGCAGCTTTGCATTAACAAAACAATGTTGAGGGCAGGCATTTTCCATAGAGTGCTCAGGACTTAGCACAGTATGTGTGTCGATTTGTTACCTGTGCACAATCCTTGGTCAAAGCCTTGTTCCATTCCATGCTTTCCTTCTGTTTACTGTATGTATGGGACAGAGTGACTGAAACAGTTTGTACCCAGTAGCTGTAACTGACTTTAAGGCCATGATGCATTTTGTGCATCATTTGTGCAAGTATTCAAAGTTAGCAGTTCACTGCAGCTCTATCTTAAAGCTGATTTTACTTAGGCTGTTGTGATTGACAGGCACTTTTAGTGCCTTTTTCATAGAGCAAAGAACAGTCTGTCACTGGTTCTTACTTAGTGTCGCACACCAGATTTCTGCCTGTCCTCAGTCTGATGCATTTTGCTGCTCGACGTGACCAAAAACTGCCTACTTTGACAGGAAAGGGCCTTTTGACTAACATGCAAATCGACCAGTCACAGATTGTTGTGTTTGTAAACATGTTAAACATTTTTAAAATTAGCAGCAAAAACAGACCCATGGGAAACAAAGTGGTATGTGTTGGACGACACCCAAGGATATCTCACTTGTTAGCTTCTAAATGCTTCAAAGACAACACTTGAATAAGTTTCAGAGATGCCATAAACTTATATCTTGCTACCAAAGATGGCATGGGATGCAAAATGGGTAACTCCTACAAAAGTGTGTTTCCCATTAAACAGCCTAAAACTGGAGCAAGGAAGTGCATCAACATGCATTTGTACATAGCAATCACAATGGAACTGACAAACTTCCAATAATTGGGGCCAGCTTAGTACACTCCTGTGGGTGGTGCATCTGAGCCTGAGACTATTTCCTGCTTGACTTTTTTCACTGAATGCATCTGTCACTTGGGGGCTCACTCTGTGACCTGCTAATACTCCCATCTCCGGTCAGATCACATATGGACAATTTCGTTTTCCTCACTTTTATTGATGTACCATGAAAACACAGTTAATGCTTTAAACCGTATCTTTCACTCTTCAGTTCATACATGGGAGCCAAGCTGCCTACAGGGCAGCCAATCTGAACAAAAGGTAATTAACACATACCTGCCTTAAAGGCACAGAAACAAAAACAGCACATTGAATTCTAAGGGATAAAGAAAGGTTGGAAAAATGTATACATATATCATAAGTGGACTTCAGGCGAAAGATAAGAAAAATATAGGATATGGCTTCTCTGAACAATAAACACATAAAAACTTCATATAGTATTACTCAGTATTAGTCATTTGTATACAATGACTTGTTGAATAGATATGGGCATCAGGTCTGCTTAGTAAAGTACTTTAATGAGGTGAATGATCCATGAATCTTATTTTACCTCATGGTTTTCTCTTCTGTGTTAGAACATAGAAAAGCATCACATCTTGTTCCATCTGCTTCATGGTTTGGTGCTCTGCCTCTCAGCTGGTCTGAGAGTACGCTGCACCTCCTTGTGGTTTAAAAAACGACTATAGTCCAGTGAGTTGATGGTAAACGCATAGTTGGTTGTTTATTAAGGGCCTTACCTTTGTTCTTGCAATAGGTTCCTAAATGGTCCTTGGCTTGGATGTATAGCTCCAGGAAAACCTTCAATTGGTAAATAATCTTTACATTCTGTGAAAGTTTTATTAAACTTCTCACACATCTCATTTACAAAAATGTCACTTTAAAGAGCCATTAAAAGGTTCTTTGGGGTACTTTTTTTAAGAACATCATATATTTGTTCATAAAGCTTCATTGAATGGCAAGGCTAAACTTAGGACATTTAGCCTAGCCATTTAATTTTAGAGCCACATTCATGGGTTTGTTGTCCAACACGCTTATGTAAATCTACAAGTATGATACAGTGGGCGTGCATAGCTTTAGTTAATCTGCTGTTGTTTTCTTTGATTAGAAACACATATGTTTCATAAACCATGGTGCGTATTAGTGGAAGATAAATTGCTTATTTCCATGCCTGCAGGATTCTTGTTAATAAGGGTGCACATATGAAAGGATTTGCTTTTTGAATTCCTAGCAAGTAACACTGGAAGATATTGATTTTGCCAGTTTTTGGACTATAATAGGAAGCATTACTCCAAACTGTACATCTGTTTTTAGCTTGCGATCAAGGAACTCCTGGAATAAGGCAGCTGAAGCCTAGGCATACACTAAAGAAACTTAACATGTTACTTTTGGATTTTTTTGTGCAAAAAGAAAAGACCAAGAATGTGATGATGTGAGCTGTCTACTTGTTACAAATTGTTGTGACATTCCAAAAAACGCTGTCAAGGTAGCAGTGATTAGCTGATTTCTTTCTAAGGAAACCCCGTAGTCATTTTCAGTGGCAGCTTATCATGTGTAAGCTTATCTTTTGAAACAAAAAAATCAACTGATTGTGCTGTTCTGACAATCTGACTGTGTTTATTTTCACTGACATGTAGTGTCCTTGCAGGTCAGTGATGTGGACTATGAAGGATGTCTGGTTGACTGAGCTGCATGTCATGGTGCTTGGAATGTTGGGACGTTGAAGGCATACTAATAAGCTCTAAATAAGGTTATTTGGCTTGTGCTAACATTAGTGATTATGTGGAAACCATAGCCTTGACTGTTTATTGGAAGAGATCACAAGGGATCCGGTAGTCAAGGTGTGGGGCCAAAGATCATGGAACACCATTGATTGTACATTTAGTACTGTCAACTTAATTCACTGCCTTTGATTTAATAGTTTGCAGAAGTATGGATTTTCAGAGTTCAAAAAATGTATATCAGCTGTGAAAGACTGATATACATACAAGCATGACAGACTAATTCATATTAGATTAGCAGTCAAAACTGGTATTCCTGCAAGAGCATTGTTTAACCATAAAGATTTAGGTTATATGCATTACGGCAGTGGTCATCAACCCTGCGCCTGGAGATCCATCTTCCTGCAGAAGATTAGCACCTAACCCTAATTGACCACACCTGATGCATCTAATTATTGCCTTCAGAAGTCCTCGCCTGTGTTTGAAATAGCATACTGTGTACTGTATACTGCATACTGCATCAGTATATATATATGTATATACATATGTATTTGTAGATGTGCCTGTTTGACTTTTAAAATACACCTCATACCATGACAAAGGGCAGGACGTTGTTTTATACCCCTCTTGAAAGCTACAAATAAACATTAAAAAAATGTCAGATGTCAAAATGCTGATGTTGAGTGCATTGCTTGGCTGAGTTACTGTTTTATCCACATTACACAGAAAGTTAACTTTTAAATAGACAAAGCAAGCAAGCTCACCTCATTTGGTAATTTTTTTTCAGTTTGCCATTTTTAATGCATAGAAGAAAAGTGGAATCCAGAGCTATATAAAATATCCAGGCAGTCAAGTCAGTGTCCGTAGGACAAATATTATTTCTTAAGATTGTCTCAGAGAAATAAAGGAGGTCTCAATAATATATTAATGAAGGATCACTGATTTCTGAATTGTTTCTCCTAAACCCCCCTTAGGAGAAAAGAGGAGATTAACATCAGCATTTCACTGTGAGAAATTCTGGTGATGAAGGAGAAAAGCATGAGTTCTTCTTCAGCACTGACAGATGACG